GCGCCCCCGCGCCTGGGCACCACAGCCTCGGGTATCTTCGCTAGACCGGGGGGCTGAGATAGGGAGGGGCCGGGCTGGGACCTCACCCTCACCTGCTTCTGTTCCCCTCACCCCCATCTCTCTAGTGTGTCAGCTCTTGAAAGGCCTTCCCACCAGGACGCCCCTCAATGGCTCAGGACCCCCGCGGCGCGTGGGCGGCTATGCCACATCCCCATCCTCGCCCAAGAAGGAGGCCACCTCCCGGCACAGGTAAGGCGCAGCCGCTGGGGTCCCCCGCCTCCTCTGAGACCTGGTGGGAAACAGAGTTTATATGGAGAGGGATGGACGCATGTGCCCGAACTCCAGTAGTGAACGGTGCCCAGAGGTCCTCGCCCTCCGCCCTCAGTCGCCTGCTGGCTTCCCAGGATCCGCCCCTACTGTGTGCTCTGTCTTCTTCACAGTGCCCGCCGCTACTTGTCACCAGAACGCCTCGCCTCGGTGCGCCGCGAAGACCCCCGCAGCCGCACCACATCCTCTAGCAGCAATTGTAGCGCCAAAAAGGAAGGGTGAGTGTCGGAGGCGGGGACAGGTCACAGACTGTGGGGCCAAGACCGCAGATAGGCATCGGAAAGGATGGGGAATTTAGGGTGATGCCCCAGGCCACGCGATCATCTGGTGCAGAAGACGGGGGCCGGGCCGGAAGCCTGGAGGGACCCGTCTGAGATAGCATGGTGGAAACGGAAGGCCGGGAGAGGCGGAGCCAACGCCGAGGGGCGTGGTCAAAGCCCTCAGGGGCCCCATTAGAACATGGGCGTGGTTAGTCCGGGTCTCCTGGGTGAGCCAGGGCAGAGGTCAGAGAGGAGCTGGGTTTGTGGGCTAATGAATGAATGTCAAGGAGAATTCCCATTGAGTCTCAGGTGGAGTTTCTGCAGGGAATGGGGGATCCAGAGGTAGGCGCGTGATTGGAATTTGAGGGCGTGGCCCGAATGTCAGCCTGGGCCGAATCAGAACCCGGGGCCGGGGTCCCTGGGGCTGCGACCAGGTGGGGACGAGTCAGACGCAGGAAGCCGGGTGGAGCGGAGCCTGGGTCAGTGCCCCGCGGAAATGGGCGCGGTCGTAGGTGGGCCTGGCCAAATCTCAGGATGTGGAGGGACTCAATTCGAGGACTGGATCACGTGAAAGTGGTCGTAGTCCGAATGCCTGGCGGGACCAGAGGCGGGGAGGTCAGTTGTCAAGAGGCAATCAACTCAGGGGCAGGATCAGTCCAGTGGGTGTGATCGGAATGTCGGGCGTGGCCAACTCCTGGAGGCGGGGCCTTACCGAAGGACTGGGCGGGGCCAGGAGGTAGTGGGCGTGGTCAGGCTGGGGAGCGAGAGTAAGGCAGGGACAGGATTAAAATACACACACATTTCAACCCCATTCAAATAACAGCAAACACATACATAGACTTGTACTGGCACGACTCCAGGCACTTAACATGAATGAACCAATTTAATCCTTGCAACCACCCCGGAAAGTAGGTGCTCTATTATTTCCCTTTTAAAAACAAGGAAACCGAGGCAGAGTTTGGGCAACTTGTCCACGCTGCTAGGCAGTGGCGGGGCTGGGGTTTGAACGCAGGCAGACACGCCCCCGAGTCCCTGTTCTCAAACAACACTCACCCCTAACCCCCCCACAAAAGAACCCGGTATCAGGACCCACCGCCTGGGACCTGAGACCCTGTGTGGCCCGCCGGCCCCCGGGGGCAGCCG